GGGGGGTGGGGGGGGTGGGGGTGGGAGGGACTGTGGGAGCCTCACTAAGGGGCAGGTCGCCACCTGCTGACGATGGCCAGCCTCACACCCTGGAGCCCCATCTTCGATGGAAAGGGCTATCAAGGCATTCTTCTTTCATGTGTTTATTGATCTATCCTTGGGAAAGTAACTTTTACACAAATAATTTATCTTGTGGCACGACTATCAATTTCCAGACAAAAGAGAGAAAAAAAGTACATAAGTATCTCACCATCTAATTTTCTACAGTGACAGCAGGTGGCTGTGGGCAGGGCACAGTGTATCTGTAGACTGAGCTATCTGGGAGGGTGAGGTAGGCAAACCATTGGAGTCCAGGAGCTTGAGACCAATCTGGATAGCACAGCAAGCCCATCTCAAAACACACGGTTGGTATTTGCCCTTCCATACGTTCTGCATGCATGTAAATATATACATACATACAGTCTTAAAGTTTTATTATATATTTTGTGGGTATGGCCAGAGGACAGCATGGAGGAGTTGGATCTTTTATTCCACTATGTGGGTCCTAAGATAAAAGTGAGATCATCAACACTCTTGATAGCAGATAACCATAACCATACCTGCTGGGTCAGCTCACTGTCCTCCCTTTCCCCATTAAAACACAGTCACAGTCCATATAGTGTTTTGTAGCCTCCCTCCATTGGTCCATTTTGAGACAGGGTCTCTCCGTGTAGTCCCAGCTGTCCTGGAACTAGCTATATGGACTATACTGGCCTTGAACTCACAGAGATTCACCTGCCTCTCTCTACAGAGTGCTGGGATTCAAGGTGTGTGCCAGTTCGCTTGTCCCCTGCAGCCTGCTTTTAAAACATCTAATTTAGGGGCACCGTGAGAGCATCTCTATCCTAAGAAACTAATTTCCAACCAAACATGTGTGGTCCACTTGAGTCCCACCAAGGTCATCCTTGCCTACATGGAACGTTCCAGGCCAATATGGGCTGTGTGAGAACCTGAGCTCTGAGACGTTGTGATAAACAGTCTGGTGACTTGTGCGATCTTTGTGGCTGGAGACCACACCAGATCCTGACAGATCCTCCCCCAGACTCTTACCATAAGCTTGTCTTTCACAGTCAATCCGCAGAACCCAACTTTATGGAAGGTGTCGTGGGGACTTTACAGAGGTTCAATGCAGCCCCTCCCGATCTATATTGAGTTTACTTTGTTTCTCAAAGAGACCTATATGTGCTTTGCTGTGCACATGGGATTGAGTTAATCGTCACTAGAATAAGCTTTCGCCCAATTATCCTGTGCTTAAAGAGACCTAAAATACACCATGTGGGGGTCAGACTCATGAAGTTGGAACCCGACACCGGCTACTCAGTCGTGCTGAACCAAACTGCTCCCTTGCCCCCTGCAGACCCCCACTCTGCTGCCCTACGTAGGCCTCTAGCTGTTAAGGGGCCCACGGAAAATGACTTCCGTTGTTTGAGACAGTGTCTTGTTATGGAATCTGGGCTAGTCTGGAAGTTGCAGCAATCCTGCCCCAGCTTTCACGGGATGGAATTGCTGGAATAAGATGCCATGCTGGCTCAGATTATATGTTCTAGACACACTGGCCAAGGAGGGTGATATGCACTGGGCCAGGCGCTGTGTCCCCACGGGCATAAGCAGGCAACTCAGGATCTCCCTGGGGTCCGAGTTTCAACCATGTGCTGGGAGCACAGACAGCTCTTGGCTACCCAGGATCCTGTGGGCGTTGGTACCTCAACCTCAGCTACCATACATAAAGCCTGGCCTTGGCTTCTGGCCACTTGGACAAAGAGGTGGCCATTCCACGCTGGAAGTCATCTGTGGCCAAGGAGAGATCGCAGATTCTGGGCATGAATATCATCCTGAATATCATCACCCAGAAGGGCACCGGAGTTTGAAGTTCCCTGGTCAGCAATAGTGGCTGAGAGACAGGAATTAGGGGACTCACGCGTGTCTTCATGAGTGCCAGGGCCCTCTCCGAATACCCAATCAGCCTCATGCAGTGATGGATCCGGCCAGGCCCCAGCCTGCCCTGCGCGATCTCAAAGCCTCGACCGGGGCCCAGGATTATGTTCTCCTTGGGCACACGCACGTCCTTGAAATGTACTTCACCATGGCCCCCTGAAAGACCAAAAAAGCATTTTCCTGGGATGTGTTTTTTCCTCGCTTCAGTCAGGGCTAGTGCTGGTACTGTTCCCAGACCTTAGCCTTCTAACTGTGTCACAGCTAAGGAGAGGATGGGGGTGGGGAGGTGGGAGGGTGGGGGATGACATGGACGGATGGACAGACAGACAGAAACAAGAGAATAGAATCGCTGTCTTCAGCAAAAACAAGTTATTCTGCCATTCCTTGTGGTTTTTCAAGTCAGGGTTTCTCTGTGTAGCCCTGGCTGTCCTAGAACTCACTCTGTAGACCAGGCTGGCCTTGAACTCAGAGATCTGCCTGCTGGGATTAAAGACATGCACCACCACTGCCCAGCTTCTGCCATTTCCTTTAAAAGTTTTGTACGTTAAATTTTACTGCTGTGTGTGTGTGCGCGCGCGCGCGCGCGCGCGCGTGCGTGCGTGCGTGCGTGCGTGTGTGTGTGTGTGTGTGTGTGTGTGTGTGCACATAGGCACGATGAATTTGGGGAGGTCAGAAAAGAACCTGCAGGAGTCAGGTCTCTTCTACCATGTAGGTCCTGGGGATTGAACTCATGTTGTCGGGCTTGGCAGCAAGCACCTTTACCTACGGAGTCATCTCGCTGGCCACAGATTATTTAGTTTTAGGACAAATAGCAGAGTCAGCTCAGTTCTTTCACCGTGTGGGCCACAGGGACTGAACATCAGGTCATCAGGCCTGGCGGAAGTACCCACTGAGCCACGTTTCAGGCCTTGTGGTTCAAATACGATGCAGGCCAGAACCTCCAGGTGAGGAACAATGTATCAGTCCTCCGGGGAGGCCAGAGGTGAGGGTGTGAATGCTGTCCACAGAAAAGGCCCACTCCTCACAGAGGTGAGGGACTCCACTGGGGCTGTGACCTGCACAAGACCCGAAAGCCAAGCCTGCTGCCCTGGCGCCTCTGTCCGCCCGTCTCGCCTCAAGGACTCCTGCTTATCTTCTGAGATTAGAAGAGGAAAGGCAGGCATAAACACACACAGGCAGTCTGCTGGGCAGTTCGTGCACCTTAGGAAACAAATGGCTGGTACCACCCTTGGTATATATAAATATTACCAACGCCATCAGATCCTCGGTATGTAGAAATTTCTGAACAGAACACGGGCTCCCCAAAACTGCTGCCCATGGACTAGAGCCATACTCAGAGTGACTGACCCTGGGAGATCTAACCTGGAGCATCCTCCAGCCCATACACTGACAAAGGCCGGATGACATGGATTCCTGGGGTGTCCATGGGAACCAAGACCATGGACTGCTGCTGGTGCCTCGGAGCCTGTGGGTCTGTTTTCCCCATAAACACACAGAGTTTGCAGCGTGGATCCAGGATGCCTGCCAGGAGAGAAGAAGACAGATGCGTTCTATCAGCGGATACCAGGGCCATGGAGCCTCTAACCACAGGAAGCTCTGGCCTGTCAAAGGCAAAGCTAGGACCCTGATGGGCCCACCTAATCAGAGAAGCATGTGCAGGCTCCAGACCAGACAGAACTCATCACATTGAGACTGGAATCCAGCACCATAAGAGCAATGTTTTGTTTGTTTGTTTTTTGGTTTTTCCGAGACAGGGTTTCTCCGTGTAGTTTTGGTGCCTGTCCTGGATCTCACTCTGTACCAGGCTGGCCTCGAACTCACAGAGATCTGCCTGGCTCTGCCTCCTGAGTGCTGGGATTAAAGGCGTGCGCCACCATTGCCTGACCTAAGAGCAGTGTTTTAACTATGAACATCTTGTCTGCATGCAATGTGCATCATGTGTGTGCAGTGCCCAAAGAAGCCAGAAGAGGGAGCCAGATCCTCTGGAACTAGAGTCACATATGGTTGTGAGGCACCGTGTGGGTGCTGGAAATCCAGTGCCCTTAACTGCTGAGCCCTCTCTCTCCAGCCCTGTAGGGGGAAAAAAAATTTAAAAACCATCATGTTAGATTTGAAAAAACAGAAAGAAGACCCAAGGTGGCTGCCATAAAGAGCTTCCTCTAGCTTGCTGAGGTCCAGCTGAGGGAGTGGGTTACGTGATGAGATGTCTACCAAACAGACAGCCCACAAGTTCATCCACGGTGAAGCAGCCAAGACAGACCTGGCTGCAAAAGACTTTGAAGTCAGTGCACCCTCTAGTGGACGCTGGGGGTTGTTAGTCCCAGGACAGCGGCATTCCTGGGAACACCCGGAAGACAACTAACTTCAGGCTCTTGAGCTTCCATCTGGTGTCTGCATTGGCAAACTGCTGAAGACTCCAGCAGGCTGCTGTTGTGCTTTGTGGGAGGCATGAGGATAGGCCAGCCTCAGCTACATAGCAAGTCTGAGGTCAGCACGGGCTACATGATAACTTCTGTGTGTGTGTGTGTCTGTCTGTCTGTTTCTCTCTCTCTCTCATACATGCACGCACGCACGCACGCACACAAATTTCTCATTGACAGGGAAAAAAAAAAGATTCTTCTACAAACTGCTGCTTCCTGCCCACAGCCTGCCCTCCTATCCCCCCAGGTGCTAGAAAGGACAGCTTTAGACAGGGGCCCTGGAGTCACGCAAATTCCGAGGCCTGTTCTCTACCCGCTAGATTGGTACTACAGCCTTAGGTAAGTGACTGGTCACCCCGAGTCCTAGCCTCCTTCTGTGAAATGGGATGGGGTCACCAGCCCGGCCTTAGGGGAAGTACAAGCACTCTGTGAGCTGAGGGACAGACAGGCACTTGGAAGCCCCTGAGATACAACACACGTGACCTCAGAGCAGGGGGAAGCCTCCAGGAAGCCTCCCAGCTGGAGGAGGCTTGCAGGGCGGGATAAGGAGGGCTGTCTACAGGGGTGCGGCCACAGGTGTGGTCATCTGGTGACGCCTCGAGGTCCCCCAACACAATGCACCCCGTGTGGCTCCTACAGGACTTCAGAGAGGGCTGCTCGTCCACACAGACTGAAAAACTGAAAACTATATTCCGGGCCAAGTACCTGAGATCCACCACTTGCGACCATTTATGACATAGGAGCCACCTTCCTCTCTGATGGAAGCCTCAATATTGGAGGCATCTGACGAGGCCACCTGCGTGGGAGCACGTTCTGGTTAGAGTCCCCATGGACCTACATGCCCCTGGGGCAGAGAGCAGCTGCCCCCCCCACCCCCACCCCCAACGGCATGAACACAGTACCTGGGGCTCAGTCATGGCGAAGCAGGAGCGGATCCTGCCCTCCAGCAGTGGCACCAGCCAGCGGGCCTTCTGTTCCTCGGTGCCATACCGCACCAGGAGCTCCATGTTCCCCGTATCCGGGGCAGAACAATTAAATATCTGAGGAGGAGAAACACATGGGTGCGCCCACATCTTCAACCTCTTGGAAGAGGCAGGGATGGAGGACCCCTTCCACATCATTGACCCCCCCCTCATATCTCATAAAAGCCCTTCCTCTCCCCAGAGAAGGCTCATACACACCTGAAGTCAAGTCTCAGGTGCCCTGAACCCTCCCATGGACCACTTCTTTGAAGTAGAGGACCCTGGAGCCGGGGGCTAGAAGCCCCCACAGCCCACACCCCTGGGTGGCTCCCCTACTGAGCCGACTACTCGTGCAGGCTGAAGTCAGCTGCCTGTTCCCCGCCTTCTTTTTTTTTTTTTTTTTTTTTTTTTGGTTTTTCGAGACAGGGTTTCTCTATGTAGCTTTGCGCCTTTCCTGGAGCTCACTTGGTAGCCCAGGCTGGCCTCGAACTCACAGAGATCCGCCTGGCTCTGCCTCCCAAGTGCTGGGATTAAAGGCGTGCGCCACCAACGCCCGGCATGTTCCCCGCCTTCTTTTCTCCTGTGATGCTCAGGTCGCATGGTGCCCCCCAGATCTGACTTTCCACACAGGCAGCTGGCCACGTGGGGACCTGTTCTCACACGCTGAGGGGACTGGGGACTGTACCTCAGAAGCATACAGGGACATGCCCATTACTTCACACAGATGTGCGTACTCCACGTTAGTCAGCCCTGCTCCGTATTTTTTCTCAGGATCTGTCTCCAAGGGTAAGAAAAGGTTCCAAAGCCCTTCAGCCTTGGCTTTCTCCTGTCAGGGCAAAAAGGAGAGACTCAATCACTGAATCTTTTAAAAAAAATTGTGGGGTTGGGGATTTAGCCCAGTGGTAGGGCGCTTGCCTAGCAAGCACAAGTCCCTGGGTTCGGTCCTCAGCTCCAGAAAAAAAAAAAGAAAGAAAGAAAAAAAATGTATATCTGCCAGGCGGTGGCGCACGCCTTTAATCCCAGCACTTGGGAGTCAGAGCCAGGCAGATCTCTGTGAGTTCCAGGCTAGCCTGGTCTACAGAGCGAGATCCAGGACAGGCACCAAAACTACATGGAGAAACCCTGTCTTGAAAAACTGAAAAAAAAAAAAAAAGTATATTAAAGATAAAAATTTATACAGGACTGATGGCACCCATCTTTAACCCCAGTGCTTAGGAGGCAGAGGCAGGTGGATCTCTGAGTTTGAGGCCAGCCTGGTCTACATGTTGAATTCCAGGCCAGCCAGGGATGCATAGAGAGACTCTACTAAACATAGCAAAGCACAACTAAACAATGTAAGTGTGTGTGTGTGTGTGTGTGTGTGTGTGTGTGTGTGTATGCGTGTGAATGCAGGGGCCCATAGAGGCTAGAGGTGTAGTGTTGGAACCACTGGAGCTGGAGTTTCAGGTGGTTTGTGAGCACCTGATGTGGGTGCTAGGAACTGAACTTGGGTCCTCTGCAACAGCATTATTCTCTTAATGTCTGAGCCATCTCTCCAGCCATGACCATCAATTATCTTTTTTTTGGGGGGAGGGGGCGGGGCAGGTTTCCTCTATATAACAGGCTGTCCTCTCCTGGAACTCGATTGTAGACCAGGCTGGCCTGGAACTCACAGAAACCCACCTGCCCTAAATGCTGGGATTACAGGCATGTGCCACCATCATCTAGCAGCCTGAACATTTCATCCCCCTGCCTCCACCTCCCAAGTGCTGGGACCACAGGAGATGCCCGGCTGACCATTCTCCTTTCTCACCACAGCTACCTCGCTGTGACGGGACAAAACCTGATTAGTCAGCAGCTGTCTCTTTCTAGTGACGGGACACCAAGCCGATGCCACTCAGCCCCCTTTGGCTCTTCTCTCATTGGTGAGGGTCAGCCATGTTGACGAGCTTGCTCACCTTGAGGTCTTCTATCAGCGGGGAAGGGGTCCACCTGTCAGCCGAGGCCTGGTGTCTCTGCAGCTCTGGTTCCAGGGGGTACACGTTCTGTTCCATAAACCGCAACAGCCGGTCATACAACTTTCTGACCCGAGGAGCGAGGCCCTCTGGAGAGATGATCAGGCCTCCCTTTGCCTCCTGAGCAGGGGAAGCACCTGCTGCGGCACTGTAACGCCTCACACCCGTGGGGGTCGGCTGGGGGGGCCGTGACCCGGCCCATGCATGGTAGGATCTCACTTGTGGTTTGGCGGCTGGCATCTCCTTGAAAACCCGGAACCCTTCTTTGGTGGCGAAGTCCCACGCCAGCTCAGCCATGAACTCGGTGAGCTTCCCGCTTTGTCTGGCTGTTGCCGAGCTTGCCTGTCCTAGGCAGAATGGAAGGAGAACTGGTTACCCCTAACCAGCCTTCCTGGTGACTGAGCAGCGACAGGGCCGATATTCTGAGGGCAGCCACCGCCACTGGCTCGGCGCCTGTTCCGTCCACACCGGGGCCTGGGCCCCGTACTCCCAGGCACCGCTGTCTGAATCTGAACTCGGTGGACGGGGAAACTGAGTCTGCAGAGGGCAGTAAGTCAGTCCCCCTGAGAACCAGAAATCAGAGGTCGGAGGTCGCTGCTGCTTGCCTTTCCTTTCCCTAAAGAAGCCGATTTAAGCTTTGGTGGCGCACACCTTTAATCCCAGCACTTAGGAGTTAGAGGCAGGTGGATCTCTGAGTTCGAGGCCAAGCTGGAATACAGCAACAGCCAGGACAGTCAGGGCTACGCAGAGAAATCCTGTCTCAAAAAACAAACAAAAAAACCAACCAAATAGAAACAAAACAAGAAAGCAAAAAAAACAAACAAAAAGAACAAGAAGCAGCTAATTTAGTGATACCCCCAAGTCACTGTGCAGCACCTGGAACAGTAAGAGATCCTACTCGACCCTAGAGTTAGCCCTTCTGAGAAAACGCCATGGCCAGTCGAGGCACCGTTTTCTCTGGACGATAACGCCAGCATCCCAGAGTGCCCTGGCATTTCCCGCCCTCTGCTTCTCTGTTTTTGTTGCTTGTATTTTGAGACAGGGCCTCTTGGAGCCCCCAACGTGTAGCTGAGGATGATCTGGAGGTCTTCGTCCTCCTACCCCACCTTCCAAGTGTTGGGATTCCTGTGCCCCACATCTGGCTACATACACGTACACGTTGCTATGACGGTTCAAGAAATTGGTCCTTACGCCATTCTGGCCAAACCTGTCTCCTCAAAGCCTCTGTGACCACCAGGCAGGCCAACACTTACCTGTGAGGGACCGCTTGTAGACTCCCTGAAGAATCGCCGCCACGCGGAAAAACGAGAAAGCCATGTAGAAGTTCCAGTTGTCGATGGGCGGGAGGCCCATGTGAAGACAGTACATCCTGAAGTACTCCTCTGCCGTTGGGATGCCCAGCTGTGTCACATCCTGGTCCCTGAACCCTGAGATAAGAGACAGAGCCGTCCCTCCGTGGTTGGTACCTACACTCTCCTACCGCTAGCAAGCCTGGAATCTGAAAGCCACGATGCTCCTGAAAACCGATTTCACAGCTAGGTGGCAGCTTGTGAGTCCAGTGGCTCCCTGTTCTAGCCGATGGCCTGAGGCAAGCACGGAGCTCCTATCTTACAAATTGGTCTCTCAAGGTTTCCGACCAAATTAAGAGTAAATAAAGGAATGTGGCCTCTGATTACCACAGCTCCAAGATAGATGCCATCCTCCACCAGACATTTGATCACAGACAGTCGTGGAGGAGGTGGTGCACACAACTAAGTGGAAACAGTGAGATCGTAACATTAGATGGTCATTGGTTGTGGTCATTTGGTCATTGAAACAAAGTATTGTTTCCAGAACAGACTGGGAGCGATGATACACACCTGTAATGCCAGCACCGGGAAAAATGGAGGTAGGCATGTCAGGAGCCTGTCTCAGGGCAGATAACCCAGAAACAAAAGACAAAGATAGAGACGCACACAGAATGGAAGGCGTAAGGTGAGCCTGGGCGCATCAGCAAGAGCTGAGGCAAGCTGGCAGTCCAGCTCCATGCCAGAGGGTCAGCTAGCGTGCTCGAGACTCAACCCCCCGGGGGCAAAAGAAAAACTGGAAAGAAAAGAAGGTGTGATGGATGAAGGAAGATACATCCCATTCGTACCCCCACATTCCAGTGACACTGTTATGCAAACTACTTGCACCCCGCTTTCCAGCCCAGCCCAGCCCAGCCGGCCACCACTGCAGCCAGTGCGTGCCCCCGGACCGGCTCCTACCTCTCAGCATGGGAAAGCTGGACGGTAGGTAGTGAGCCAGGCAGCTGTAGGCCACGTCGGCAAAGGGGTCCCCTAAGGTCGAGAGTTCCCAGTCCAGGACGGCGAGCACCTCCGCCTTTTCGGGATGGAACATCAGGTTGTCCAGCCTACGAAGCCACAGAAGGCATGGAGACAGCTGGGAAGACTCCATCTGCCCCTCCCGGCTCACCCTCCACCAGCCTGTGAGCAGTGCCTCGGCCAGCTGCTAGGTCCTCTCCCTACCAGTCAGGAGCACCAGCGGGGGATGTTTAGTTAGCTGTTCTCCCCTCCCGAGGGCCACAGCTCTGGCCAGGAGCCACCCTCTCTGACGTTACCCCTTCTGGATTCATGCCTGCGAATCCTGACACACTTGCCCCTCCACGAAGCACCTGGCTTCTAACGAATGTCAAGCGGAAGAAGTGACGCCGAGGGATTTCCAGGGTGGCGGAGGTCAGCGGAGGTCACATGGCATTTTTAGTACACTCAGCTTTGGAGACATGAGCTACCAGGTTAAGTCCCCCGTGACCCAGGGGCCACCATCCTGGCCAACCACAGAGTCACAGAGGATGGCCCGAGGAGGCCAGCCATCGGCAAAGCAAGCCCCGCGGAGTACTGCAGCTCCTGCCAGAGAGCCACCCTGGTGGAGATGTGTTATCCTGTCCCAGCTGTCGGCTCCGGGGCCGTGGTGAAAGTCTGTTAAATGCAGTAGCTACAGGGGAGCATGCTGGCCCAAGCAGAGCCACTGGTTGGAACTCCACGGTGGTTCCAGTCAGTTCAGCGGCCTCCGAGTCCTGAGTGGACACTGACGCAGGCTTGATTTAAAAATAAACGGGCCGGGCGGTGGTGGCGCACGCCTTTAGTCCCAGCACTCGGGAGGCAGAGGCAGGCGGATCTCTGTGAGTTCGAGGCCAGCCTGGTCTCCAAAGCGAGTTCCAGGAACGGCGCAAAACTGCACAGAGAAACCCTGTCTCGAAAAACCAAAAAAAAAAATAAAAATAAAAAAATAAAAAAAACAGACGGACGGGTCTGGGGAGGGGGCTCGGTGTTTATGAGCACATACTGCTCTTGCAGAAGACCCGAGTTTGGGTCCCAGCACCCGGTGGAAGTCTGGCTCACAACCACCGGGCACAGGACCTCACTCCTGTCTGGCCTCCATGGGCACCTGGACTTCACCTGCACACATAGACACTTCATCAAAAGTCAACGAAATCTTTAGAAGAAAAATGACCCAACAAGACAGGGGACAGCACAGAGCCCCACGGGCCATCTTCCTCACAGAAGTCACACCTTTGGCTTGGCCGTTTTTTTCCTTGAAGCTCTAACACACACACACACACACACACACACACACACACACACACACACACACACACACCTCAGGCTCAGCTCACGGCCTCCACCCTCACTCCGCACCTTCTTTGAACTTGGCCTGTATTAGTCTCACGCTTTTCTGTCTCTCTTAGCGATGCACACACTTAAAATCCGCTGGTGGCATTCTCTCGACCCTGGGTAAACTTGCATAAACAGCGCAGGCACTTATCCTTCGGGAACTGACTCTTTTCTCCTCAGCAGGAACTGACTCTTTTCTCCTCAGCATGGTCCTCTTGAGATTCATTTAGGTTGACTCATGTAGAGCCAACCGGTTTATTTTATCAGCTAAGCAGAATCCCAGCACACCACCAAGCCACATGGTTGGTTCATCATGTGCTACAAGGAGCAGCGGGCTGGCATCTTTGCCGAGACTCCTTGGAGGTGCCAGGCTGTGCTAGAGGGGAACTGCTTTGTCTGCTTTCCTGGCTTTAAGCTTTCAAACCCAGCAGTGTATGTTCCCGCCTCCTTCAGGGTGCCCTCGTCCCCGGAGCGGCAGGTGGAGCTCTCTTTGACAGTGTTACCTCTAAGGGGAGCACACTCTAAGAGCAGGGGTGCTTTTCCGGGGGTGTCTTCGGGTTTCCGCCAGAGCTGAGAGGCCTTTAGACCCCTGCTGGCTGTCTCCTGCCTGCTCTTGTGTTTAGTCACACTTGTGACACTTGTGGCAAAGACAAAAGCCATAAAATAGTTATGGCTAGTCGTCACCCGTCCCTACTCTTCCCCACCAAAGAGGGAGGTTTGCATGGGGGGGGGGTCTTCTAGGGTCTCAGGTAGAAGATAATGAAACAAATGCAAGCAAATTATCAAGTGGTTTGGGGGCCGAATAAGATGTGTAGCTCAGCCGGGCGGCGGTGGCGCACGCCTTTGATCCCAGCACTCGGGAGGCAGAGCCAGGCGGATCTCTGTGAGTTCGAGGCCAGCCTTGGCTACAGAGCGAGATCCAGGACAGGGTCCAAAACTACACAGAGAAACCCTGTCTCGAAAAACAAAACACAAAAGAAAAGAAAAGATGTGTAGCTCAAAGGCAGGCCTCCAGGAGCTGCTGAGAAGCAGAAAATGTTGACTGTGCCCTGAGCGCCTCAAGAGCAGAGTCCAGGGCAGCCATGGAAGGTCGGCTGGACACCCAGCGGGATGGAGGTGTTCTGAGGTCTAGGGAACGCAGAACTCTAGACTCAGCTCACACCCTAGGAAACTACATCCCCTCCCTGACCTCCTTCAGTCTGGGCACAAGGTCAACACCCAACGCTGAGCCCACAGGAAGTGAACATGCCCTCAGCTACCTGATCTCAACGCTGTTTCCACACCCAGCACAGCTCCTCCCCACAGGCACATGGGACAGTGTCTCTGCAAGCAGCTCTGGTGGCCAGAGGGGGCTGCTGGGGACCTTAGTGAGCAAAAGCCAGAGATGATGCTTGACCTCCTTAGAGGTCACGGTGTTGACAATGAGCAATGAGAAGCCCTGACATCAAGGAAACACTCTGTGAAGGGATGACTCTTGTCTGTAACATGGACCACTGACTTGGTCTCTCCTGCACGGGCCTTGCCCATCAGTTTCCACATGGGATACCCTGCCGCCGCCGCCGCCGCCGCCGCCCCTCGCCCCGCCCCCCGCGCCTGCCCCCAGGCTGTGTCTACCTGAAGTCGCCATGCACCACTGTGGTTCTCTGTTGCCTGGGAAGGTGCTGCGGCAGCCACTGGATAAGCCTCTCCATTGCTGGGATGCTGCTGCCGGTCTCCGCTGCTCGGTACTGCTTGGTCCAGGTCTGTACCTGGCGACGAATATAGTCCCCTGAGGGAAAGAGGGTTGGGACATGGTACGCCATTCCGACGGCCTTCGGTGCCCTGCAAGTTCAGCAGAGCGGCGAGAACATCAGCACTTCTGTGCCAGGGCTACACAAGGTCTCTCTGGGTGGCCTTGGCTGTCCTGGAACTCACTCTGTAGCCCAGGCTGGCCTCAAACTCAGAGAACCACCTGCCTCTGCCTCCCGAGTGCTGGGATTAAAACCATCACCTGGCTCAAATAAAATAAAACGTTTTAAATAGGAAGGAAAGGAGGAAGACATGGAAGGAGGAAGTGTATCTTAAATGCTACATTCAGCATTGGTAAGAAAGGATTAAACAGTTCAGGAAGAAAAAAGTGGCAAGAACAGAGTCCTTGATTAAGTCCATGATGTGTCTCACTCATCCAAGGACGAAATTAGTGGTCGGCAGTTATGATCAGCCTGCGTTCACAATGTGGGCGGGGTTGTGGGTCAGCACCCCTAACCACCCAGACCCCGGCAGCAGAGCTTGGCTTCGTGAGAGGAACTCTCGGTGGGGGGGTGGGGGTGGGCTGCCCCTGCACACCTTGCTTCCCGAAGCTGTCCAGGCCCGCGGCCTGCAGGTCCACACTGTGAATTCTGCACAGGACTTGGTTCATGGCCGTGTATATGGCTTGCCGCTGGCGGGGCTCCAAGCCTGGCAGCGAGGGGTCTTTGTAGATGATGCCTGGGCAGTACTCCATCAAGTAGAAGGGGGTACCGATGATGCTGGCGGGGACACAGATGGGGTTGGGCACTTCAGCGGCCGTCAGCCATGGTGCCCCCCCCCTCGGTTTCTGTGAGGAGGGTTTGGGGGAGGGACGGAGCTCCCTCGCCTCTAAGTGCAAAGAACTGAGAGTGCCCATCCCCCACCCCCCACGCCCACCTGTGTGTGCAAACAGCCAGCAAGCTCTCACTTCTCCTTGGCCCATGTGTCGAAACCACTGAAGAGGCTTTAATGGGATACTACTAAGACCAAATTGTTGAAGAGGAGGAGTTCTGGAGTCATTCGGAACCGGCTTTACGTCCCACTTCCGCCCTTGACTAGCTGTGTATCCCAAGGAGACTTTCTAAGAAGCCTGTCTGAAGATTTCCGTCTGGTTCTTTTGAGGCAAGGTCTCACGGCACAGCATAGGTTGTCTATGAACTCTAGATCCTCCTGCCTCAGCCTCCAGAGTGCTGGAATTACAGGCCTGGGTCATTGTGTGTGTGCGTGCGTGCATGCATGCGTGTGTGTGCATGTGTGTGCGCGCGTGCATGTGTGCGTGTGAGAGTGTGCGTGTGAGAGCATACGTGAGATGCACCACAGGGTCAGGTCTCTACTGTGTACAGCAGGCAGTTGGCCCACAAGCCTCGGGGATTCTCCTGGCTCTGCCTCCCATCTTGCTGCAGGAACGCCGGGATCACAGGCACTCCCACTCTCCGGCCAGCCTTTACGTGGGTTCTGGGATTTGAACTCAGGGCCACGTGCTGGGCAGCCAGCCCTTTCACCCACCGAGCCCCAGTGATGAGTGGTGTCGATCTGTACACTGTGACTATGTGTCGTTCTGATGGGTTGATAAATAAAGCTGTCTGGCCAATGGTGAGGCAGAATAGGATTAGGCAGGACATTCTAACTTAGAGAGGAGGAAGGGGAAAGGCAGAGCAGAGGAGACGCCAGCCAGGGAGCAGCAAACATATAACGGCACACAGGTAAAGCCACGGAACACGTGGCAACATGTAGATGAGCAGAAATGGGCTCAGTTTAAATGTAAGAGCTAGTCAGCAGTAAGTCTGAGCTGATGACTGAGCAGTTTTAATTAATATAAGCCTCTGTGTGTTTACTTGGGTCTGAGCGGCTGCGGACACAGGGAAATTTCCAGTTGTCTTTTCCCCTTCCGTTTTATTTTCTGTGCACAGCTGTTCTGCCTGTGCTGTGTCTGAGCACCACGGGCCTGTGGAAGCCACAAGGGAGTGTTGGATCCCCTGGGGCTGGAGTTACAGGTGGTTCCTTCTGCTTTTTCTCATCTGTAAAGCTTACCCAGTTTTAAAATGAAGAGAACAAATACACAGAGGTCCTCGTGCGGCATCTACTCACACACGGGGTTGCTGTCCGACATCCCTCCTTGTCCTGATGTTTTCTGCACCCTTATTTAAAGGCACTGAGGGCACATGTCCCACCTTGTGGTGTTCAGGTAATTTGCCGCCTTATTTATTTATTTATTTATTTATTTATTTATTGTTATTTCATGGGCATTTGTGTTTTGCCTGTATGTATGTCTGGATGAAGATGTCAGATCCCCCTGAAAATGGGATGACAGGCAGTTGTGAGCTGCCATGTGGTGCTGGGAATTGAACCCTGGACCCTGGAAGAGCAGCCAGCGCTCTTAACCTCTGAGCCGTCTCTCCAGCCCTCCTTGCTTTCACGTTGTTAACCATCTGTTGTCAGGACCAGAAAGCACTTTACTGCTCTAAAAAGCGGTTCTAAAAATTATCCTGTGAGTCTGTCCTGACTTGAAACACATTCTTCTTTTTGGTTTTAATTTGGCGTGTGTGGGTGTCTTGCCCGCATGTACGTCTGCACAGCACATGGGTGGCTGGTGCTTGCTGAGGCCAGAAGAGGACACCGGATCCCCTGGCACGGGAGTTACAGCTGTGAGGTGCCGTGTGCATGCTCGGAATAGAACCCGGGTGTTCTGTGAGGCGGGCAGACGCTCTTACGCGCCGAGCCACCTCGTCTCTCCAGCCCCATCAGAGGCGTCTTCGGAAGAGCTAGCTCAGTCAGTAACACGCTTGCTGCGCGCGCGTGGGGATCTGAGTTCGATCCCCAGAACTCACAGAAAACAAAAGCAAACCCCGAAGCAGGTCTGGGGGTGGGCACCAGCGGCCACGGCACTGGGGAGGCAGACGGGCAGGCAGGTCACCGGGGATTTCTGGCCGGCCTAGAGAGCCTCAGGTCCCAGTGAGAGACCCTTTGTCAAACAAACAAGACGGCTCTTTAGGAACCACACTCGAGCTTGGCCTCCACATGTGCGCGCACACACATATTCACTCACGTTCACGAACATGCGTACACGCATAACATTCTTGGGAGTCAGCTGTGGTAATCCCAGCACTGTGGAGGAGGCTGAGGCAGAAGAATTGTGACTCAGAAGTCAGTCTGGGCTACATAGTAAGACCCTGCCTCAAAATAACTAACTAAATAAACGGGCATGTAAATTATTCCACATATATGAATGGAACGTGTGGCAAATATTAACAGCATTTTAATCCTAAGTATAAATAGATGTCTCGGGTGCTGTGTTTTCTTTCAATTGTTCTGTGTGCTTGGAAATCTTCCCAATCAAATATTAAGGAAAAAGAGAGAGACTCAGCCGGGGGAATCTGCTTCTTATGAACGAACGGTGCTTGCTTAGCACGCACACAGCCTGGGTTCCGTCCCAGCACCACGGAAACAGGCTGCATGCTGCATGCCATAACCCTAGCCCTCGGGAGGTGCAAACAGAGAGATCGGCCATTCAGAGTCATCCCTGGGTACAACTGTCTCACAGACACACACACACACAACACACACACACACACACACACACACACACACACACACACACACACACACACACAGAGTGCTACAGCAGTTTAAAAGAGAAGTGCAGGGCACTGTGGTACACCCCTTTAATCCCACCTCTCAGGAGGCAAAGGCCAGCCTAGTCTACATAGTTCCAGGATAGCCAGAGCTACATAGAGAGACCTTGTCTCAACAAACAAACAAACAAAACATTTTAGACCACAATAAAAAAAAAAGACAAAAACAAAAGCAAGCAACATGAAACTCAGTGGACTCTGTGGTGTGTGTGTGTGTGTGTTGTATATACTGTTTAGTCATGAAAGGGTCTCTCTATGTAGCCTCCTGCCTCTGCCTCCCAAGTGCTGGGACTAAAAATGTACCACATCCAGCAACGTGGGTATGTATTTTTGGAATGCTAAGAAAGCTATTTTGGATTTTTGGATGTCTTAGGGCATCTGGGGGAGGTGGCTGCAGCTGATTCTCTCAGCTCTAAGGAATGGGCTCTTGAGTTAACCAATGGGCTTTTCTCTCCTGTAGCCTGAGGACACAATGGGATAATCCACAGATCTTTACCTTGAGTCTTCACAGAGGTCAAGGACAGTGGGAACAGGGACACCAGCATTCCCAAGGGCTTTCATTATCCTGCCAGAACAAATGAAAACACATTGTTGTGGGCAAATTGCTTTTCTTATTTAAAAACTAGTACATTGTTGGGGTGGGTTCAGTTGGTACAGTGCCTGCCACGCAAACACAAAGACACGTGTGTAGATCCCCAGAACCCATGTCAAAAGCTGAGCATGGCAGCATGTGCCTACCCCAGCCTGAGGCTGTGGTTGGGGTGAAGACAGGCAGATGGCTGAACTCATTGACTGGCATGGCTTCAGGTTTACTGGAAGGCCTTTATGTCAAAACGTTAACGTGGATAAGCCACAGGGCAGTGCACACCTATAATCCCAGCCAGCACTCAGGAGGGAGAGGCAGGCGGATCTCCGAGTTTGAGTCCAGCCTGGTCTATATAGCGAGTTCCAAGCCAGCCAGGGCTACATGGTGAGACCCTTATCACAAAAACAAAACAAAAAACAACAACAACAATAAAAAAAAAACAAAAAAACAAAAAAAAACAGATGGCTTCTGAGGCTAAGAGCACTGTCTGTTCTTGCAGAGAACTCAGGTTTGGTTCCCAGCACCCACATGGCAGCTCACAACTTAATCTAACTCCAATTCCAGGGGCTCCAACACCACCTTCTGGCCTTTGCAGGCACTGCATGCATATAGTGCACAGACATATGTGCAGGCAAAACACCCATACACTTAAAAAAAATCATAAAGGTGGGGAGTGACTGAGACAAGATACCTGACTTGGGCCGGGCGGCAGTGGAGCACGCCTTTAATCCCAGCACTCGGGAGGCAGAGGCAGGAGGATCTCTGTGAGTTCGAGGCCAGCCTGGGCTGCCAAGTAAGTTCCAGGAAAGGTGCAAAGCTACACAGAGAAACCATGTCTCGAAAAACCAAAAAAAAAAAAAAAGATACCTGACTTGGGCCTCTGCATACACGCACATGTACAGGCACACCAAACACACATGTGCACATACCACACACACACACACACACACACACACACACACACACACACACACATATATATATATATATATAACATATAACACATGCAATAAAATTAAATTAAGAATAGTATGTTGGGGGTGGGGCTGTATTTCAGTGGTAGGCTCCCATAGCATACACAGGCCTGTACCACCAGGACAGTTTAAACACACATAGTACAGAATTCTCTCTCCAGATCTCTTAAAGAGGAGGGGCAAAGCCATTGGAACCCCAGGCTGGAGTCTCTCAAGGACGACTTGCTCTCCTCTCCTGCTTCCCCTGCAGTGAATGTATGTGAGACAGGGCAAGTGTAGG